GATTGTCAGCCAGAAGCTAATCTCAGCTCCTAAAGGCTGTCCACATGTTTTGCCATGGGCCCTCCTCCATCTTCAAAACTAACCACAAAGAGTTTTCCCCAGTTAAATCCCTCTTTCCTAGGAAGAACTCAGTTCCTTTTAAGGGCCCATCTGATTAGATTGGACTCAAGATAGTCTCCCTATGTTAATTTTAATGGATTTTGACCTTAATTACATCTGAAAAAAAATCCCTTCACAGTAGCACCCAGAGTGGTGTTTGAATAGCTGGAAGAAGGTGAGTGTATAGCAGGGAGGAAGGAATCTTGGGAGTTAGCTTGAATTCTGACTATTGCACGGAACACTGATGAATCTTACAGTCAGTGTCAGACAAATGAAGCCAGGAGCCTATAAAAGGAGCAGGGACAACGTGCAGAAGACTGAGTATGAATGACTACCAGCTTCATCAGTGAGAACTGTTCCCATCAATAACATCTACAAACAAGAAGGTCATACATGGGGAGCTCTGGTGGCCTAGAGGCAAGAAGCTGCACTGCAATCCCTGAGGCCCATGGTTCAAATCCACCAGATGCTCTGCCGGGAAAGGAGGGACAATCTCCTCCTGTACCAGTCAGATCTGATTTGATGGTACACAGACACACAAAAATAATAACAAAAATTTTAAAAAAAAAAAGGTCATACATAACCCTCCCCTTCCGCATTCCTCCACCTTCTCCTACCAATCACTTGGTCTGATGTTTGTTGCAAATTGACTCACAGACATTACTCACAGTTGTGGAGTTTATTAGGGACACAGGTTAGGGTGGGGCAGGGAGGATATCACACAGTAAAAGTCCAGGTTTAGTCCAGCAGTCCTAAGTCAGACTACAAGACAGAATTCCTCAATTAGTTCAGACAGCTTGGAAGTCAACAGGTCGATGTCCAGGTTCAGTCCCGCAACACAAATGCAAGAAGCCTCTCTGGTTTCCTCAATCATCCAGCAATCTTCGTCTCATAGCAGTCACAAATCAGGCCTTCCTTCAGTCATCCAGCAAGCAGAACCTTTAATGTTGGCTCCGTCTCCAGGGCTCTGGCCGACTATATACACCTCACCATGGCCTCTCACAGTCTGGTCAGCTCTCCCTCTTTTGTTGGCCTTGCAACTGTTAATGATACTGAAGACACTGATCAACGGTGAACCATGTGCCTACAGTTAAGGCAGCTGTAGATCATGGTCCCTGAGGGGGCTAAGCTAATGTATAAAAAGCCTTTTTCAAAAGCCCTATCCCTATAACAACACAGAATGCATAATGTATGGTTCCATTTATATGTTGTTGTTATGTGTCTTTGAGTCACCTGTGACTCACAGTGACCTTATGTACAACAGCTCTGAACCCCACCCTATCCTGAGCCAGGCTCCCTGATTCTGACACACCTAATCCCATTACCCCTATTATCATGTAGATCTATCTCATCCAGGGTCTTCCTCTCCTGTGTTGTCCCCCCACCACTGCAAGCATGATGTCCTTCTTCAAGCATATGTCCTAAGTATGAGACAGAGCTTCAACATCCTGCCTTCAAGGAGAAACTTGGTTTCACTCTAAAATAGACCTCTCTGTTCTTCTGGTGGTTGATGATATGTTCAATACTCTTCTTCAGCACCACAGCTCAAAGGCATCAATTCTTCTTCTGTCATCCCTAGTCATTGCCCAGCTCTCTGATGCATACATAGCAAGTGATTGTGAAGACCATGGCCTGGATCAGGCACACCTTAGTCTCTAGACTGACATCCTTGCTCCTCAACACTTTGGAGAGAGGTCCCTGACAAAAGACTTCTCCAGTGTAATTCATCTTTTTTTTTTTTTGCAATTCATCTTTTGATTTCCTGATTGCTTGTGCCAATAGTGTTGATTGTGGAACTTAACAAGATTAAATTGTTAACAACTTCATTCTCTTCTCCATCCAATCCAATGGACTGACATCCATTTATATATAAAATGAAAAAAAAAAAACCAAAACCAATATGCAGTTTCTTGATTTAGTTACCTACTTTGATGTTCAGACTGGGAAAAAGCAAGCTGCACATTTATGATGTATGTGCTTTGCAGTAATTATGTTACATGTGAATTCAAAAGCTTTTAGAGTAATTAGGATTTGTTGAAAACAGGTTTGTTTTATTTTCACACAAAATAGCAGGCATCCAAAGACAGCACTCAGGGTGGGTGGAGAATGATCAGAAAGAGAAATGGAATGAAGGGGCCCCTTGCCTGGAATGAAGATGACCAAGCTTTCTGAACCCTTTACACAAAGCCTATGTGGTCAAACATTAATACCCAGACAGCTTGGCCTTGTGTGGACTGGGACAGATGCAGAGTGAAATGAAGAGGTCTTTTTGATGGAAACATTAAGAACTTGATGATGGCAAGAACAGAGCATTAAACTAAGCGAGGGTCCTTCTAAGTGCAGGTCCTGTGTCACTGCACAAGTAGCAGTACACTGACAAAGTGAGCTCTCCCTACTATACACAAGGCACCTTGCAGAACACAAACACTTCTTTACAGGTGAGTTACTCTGAGCACCCACAGTTTTGGTCCTGTGGATTGCAGAATGGATTAGCATCTCTCTCTCTCTCTCTCTCTCTCTCACACACACACACACACACACACACACACTCTGAAGGGTTAGTTCATAGGGATTTGTGCTATGAACACATAGGAGGCCTTCTCCGGCAGTATGAATTCACCAGCGGCTCTGCAGGAGCAAGATGGGCAATCACTTCCCATGTGAACTACAGTCTTAGAAAGTCAAGTTGATTCTAACTCATAGCAACTCTGTAGTAAACAGAAGTTCCGCTTTAGGGCTTCAAAGGCTGCAGACACTGTTGGCCTACTGGCCAGAAGCTGCACTGCAATCCCATTGTGACCTGCGGTTTGAGTCCACCTGCTGCCTCACCTGAAACGCATGGGCAATCCCCTTCTGTGGGTCAGCTTCCACTCAACGATTATGGAAACAAGACTATCACAGTTGGTGGGTTTAAATGCTAACCTTTTGGTTTAGCAGGCAAGCTCTTCACCACTATGCTACCTCCCAGAGGCTTGTGGTGGTGTTGTTGTGTGCCGTGGACTTGGAACTGGTGCACAGCTGACCCTCTGGACTGTTTTCAGAGACAGTTAATTGTATGGGAGGAAATTGCCTGTCCTCCTATGGAGCAACTGGAGTATTCAAACCCCGTGCCTTTGGTATTGCAGTGCAGCTCTTTATCACTGGGCCACCACAGCTCTCCTTAGCAGAGGCTCGAAGGCTCAAGTTCATTAATAAATGTGCAAAATGCACTCTGTGAAGTGTAAGGCATAAACAATTGCAGTGAGGGGCTGTCTGAATGTGAGCTATTTCTGTGTTTAGTTACGAAATGGGCCTGAGTGACCTTCCCGGTACTATTTATCTGATACAGAAACACTTTATATAGATAGCACACTTTCCACTTCCTCTTGGATTAGGTGAAGGAATACAAATCCCATATTGGTGGAACACCAATCATGAGATTTTCATTGAACTTGGCCTTCACAGTTCTAAGAGGATACCACCCAAGGCCAAGGCTGAGAGTATTGGGAGACCCAGTACTTCCCCATCAAAAGTGTTTCTTGCTGCTGTTTGAGCTTCGATTCTGTTTGGAAGTGCATTCCAGGAATCTGGAACCTGCGTGGCCGGAGCACCCTGAGGAGGGATGCCCAGGAATCGGCGGGTTACGGTTCAGTGGCGCATGCCACGGGCACGTGACTCCAGCGCCTAGCGACACTGCAGCGTTAGGATAACAGGGCCGCTGTCCAGCGTACGGGGGGCACGGTGGGGGGCGCATCTGGGGATTCGGGTTTCTGAAAAGGCCCGGCATGCGCATTGCATTTCTGCGTCCCCAGCGTGCTCTCTGGAGCACAAAGGTCCCACTTAGTGACTTACAAAAACCTTTTGGGGACCGAGTGACCCGAAGGAGAACGGCCTGACCTAGGATTTGCAAGTGGTTCCAAGGATGAGCTGAGGTCCCGGTGTCTCAGCAGAGTCTGGGACGAGCAGCGGCGCACCGCAGTCAGGGAGGGAAGTCAACGGTGGAGGGGGCGGCGAGCCCTGGGTCTCCTCCAGCAGGCATGAGGCGCACGGGGCGCGGACAAGCCGCCTTCTGGCCACCAGCACGCGGGAGCCGCGCGCGCCGTCCTTGAGGGCCGCCCGGCTGACCTTGCCCCGCTTTCTCCGGAGAAATGGCCGGGAGCGTGAGCGGACGCAGCCCGGTGGTGACTCAGTGCCCCGCACGCCGCATGCAAATGCTCCGCTCTGCGTCCCCGCCGGTCACCCTCTCCTAAAGCCACGATCCAACCGCGGCGTTGGCCGCTCCACCCGTACCCTCCCCCGCTCGCCTGACATCAGCGAGGCTGTCCAGGTGTCGGGATCCCCCCCACTCCGGCATCGCCACAGGCCAACCTTGGCGCTCGGTCGCCGCCGGCCCAGCCATCGGACGGGGGCCGCTCCAGGAGGGCGCGGCG